GCCTGTAGATGTAATAAACAGGGTCCACCCATCATGGAAGATCTGTAGATGTTCCACCTCCTCCTTACCATAAGGAAGGATAATTTTATCAGGACTCTTTCCAAAGGTTTGAATGCTAAACTTGTGTGCCTTCCACAACAATTGTAAAATGAGATCATAGTAAGGGGTCACTACCTTCTTAGGGGAGGCTGACAAATGTACCCAATAAATAGGACCAGTCTGCCAAAACACGGCAGTGGGCGAAAAGCTAGATGAAAGTACAACCAGAACAAGGGGCTGCCCATAATCTATACGCCGAAGGTGGGCTTGCTCTATACTTCTTAACAACAATTGTAGGGCTTCCCTGGCCTCTGGGGTAATCTGTCTAGGGAAGTTGGAGCAGGGTCCCCAGGAAGAATATCATAAAGCGCTTTAAGAGCCCCTGTTTTAATAGAAAGAGAAGGGCGAAACCATTGCACCTCTCCCAAGAATCTCTGCCAATCATGAAGTGTTTTTAAATTTGAACAATCGATTTGGAGTCTTTGTGGCCGGAGGCCAGTTTGTTGAATTTGATGACCCAAATAAGTATAAGGGGGTCTCTTTTGGATCTTTTCAGGAGCCAAAATAAATCCTCGGGCCTCCAGAAGCTCCTGTAGCTCTGCAAAGGCTATGTAACATTGTCTTTCTTTGGCCGCGGCCAAAAGAATATCATCCATGTAGTGGATAATGTAAAGATCAGGGAACTTACGTCTGAGGGGATCTAAACAGGCAGCTACATAAATCTGGCATATAGTTGGACTATTAGCCATCCCTTGGGGAACACCACCCATTGGAAGCGAAGGGCAGGCTCCCTAAAGTTAATCGCAGGAAGGCTAAACGCAAACCGAGGACTATCTTGAGAATGCAAGGGAATAGAAAAGAAGCAATCCTTCAAGTCAATGACAATCAAATGCCAGTCTTTAGGAATGGCCACAGGCACGGGCAAGCCAGGCTGCAGAGCCCCCATAGGCTGCATGGTCGCATTCACGGCCCTCAAGTCTTGTAGTAACCTCCATTTCCCTGAAGATTTTTTATTACAAATATAGGGGTATTCCAAGGGGACGTGGAAGGAACCAAATGACCTGCCTCCAATTGTTCTTGAACTAGCTGGTGAGCCGCCCTTAGTTTCTCCGCTGGTAAGGGCCACTGTTCCACCCATACCGGATCATCTGATAGCCATGTGATGGGTATGGGGGCTGGCGGCGCAACAGTGACCCTCATCAAAAATGGCCAAATCCCTTCCTATCCCCTGGGGCCCTGGTCTCCAAAGGGAGGGATGCCACAGGGCAAACCTCTCCCTGTTCTAGTTCACCTAGTTCCCTCCCCGGGCTCCAGCCCCTCCCTTGCATCATCTGGGGGCCCCTGCTTTTGGACTTGGGTGCCTGAGTGGTGAGGACCACTCCCATTTCTTGCATGAGGTCCCGTCCCCAGAGGTTAATAGGGAGGCCAGGCAAAACATATGGCTGGAAAAGCCCTGTGTGGCCTTCAGAGTCTTGCCACTTTAAGATTCTGAGGCTTTTTGGGGCACAGCCTGTCCTATTCCCTGGAGGGTCACTGTCCCTTCCTCTTTCGGCCAGGTGGGGGGCCAGAATTTATCTGAGAGGACAGAGAAATCTGCCCCAGAATCTAAGACGCCCCTAAAGGACTTGCCTTCTATCTTTAATGTAAGCTGGGGCGGTTCTCCATAGTGGCTACCCAAAATGCTGCCGGGCCGGTACTTCCAAAACCTTGGTTGCCCCTTTTCTCTTTAATTTTTCTAGCCTCACAAGGAGCTGTAGGGAGAAGGAGTATCTGAGCAATCCGTTCTCCTGCAGGGATGGCAACAACCCCACTGCCCACTGATGTCATTATTTTAACCTCCCCTCACTATCCTGGTCTATAACACCGGGGTGTACCTGGATGCCTCGAAGAATAGTACTGGACCGTCCCAAAAGTAGTCCGACCGTGCCTGGGGGCAATGGCCCATGCACCCCAGTAGGGAGGGCCTGGATCCCCATTTCCGGTGTTAGGATTGCCCGGGCAGAGGGAGCGAGGTCCAATCCTGCACTCCCTGAGGTGGCTCTAAGGAGGTCTGAGATATGAAGGGGTTGCTCTGGGGAGAAAATGAGTCCTGCCACTGTCCAGAGCAGGGGTCATTGCCCCGTACACATTGGTTTTGGGGCCCTGGGGCGGGGCCCTCCTCCCGTTTCCCTGATTATTATTAGCAGAAAGGAAATTTCCCTCCCTGTCAGTTTTAGAGTAGCAGTTATTGGCCCAATGATATCCCCTTCGACAACGGGGCATAAACCAGGTCTCTTGAGACCCGTAGTACTATTTTGAGGGCACTCTCTACGGAAGTGTCCCTCCCTACCGCAGCTAAAACATGTTTTTCTCCCTCCCAGAGTAGGTCTTTCTTTCCCCACTTGGGGCCGAATAGCAGCAGCTAACACTTGGCCCTGGATGAAGTTCCCATCAATGTCCCTACAGATCCGGATATAGTCATTTAGACTTTTATTGCGATAGGGGCGAAGGGCTTCCTTACAATATTTATTTGCATTTTCAAATGCCATCTGCTTTATAACTGGCATCGCAGGCCCAATGCCCCCAAATATTCTTTCTGCTACCTGACTGAGACGGTCTACGAAGTCTTGAAAAGGTTCGGAAGGTCCTTGAAGGATTTTGGACAGATGATCTCCTCCTTCCTTGGAAGGCAATGCTTTCCAAGCCCCTTGGGCCGCTGCTGCCACTTGGGCATAGACTGCGATGTCATATTGCATTTGCTGCTGAATGGTGGCGTATTGACCACTTCCGGTAAGCATCTCCACATTTCTCTGGGGCTGTCCGGCCTGTGCATTCCTTTGGGCTGTCTGGCTGCATCTTTCCTGAAACTCACCTCTCCAAATCAAATAATCTCCCCCCGACAGAGCTGCTCTGCAAAGCTGCTGCCAATCGCCAGGTGTCAAATTAAGAGACGCAAAAGATTCCATTAAGGAAAGTGTAAAGGGAGCCTGTGCTCCATAATTTAAAGTTGCCTCTTTCAGTTGTTTTATATCTTTGAAACTTAAAGGGTCATGGCGCCGAATGACCTGTCGAGAATTGTTCGGGTCTGGAACTTCCATTACCGGGGCCACCACCGGGCAGCATTGGACCCCTCCTCTGGGTCTTCCCTCCAGGTCTGAGAAGGACTGGGTTATCTCATAGGAGGAGTCCCTTTTTTCAGAGTATGGGGAAGGGTTTCTCTCCCTGTCCTGTCTTTCCTTAATTAGAATCTTTTTTAGTTCTTTTTTAAGGGCCACGATCTCAGCAAGTAACCGTTCCTTTTCAGACTGTGACGAGTCTGAGTCTGAGCTACTTCCCTTTTCTAGATCTGATAGAGAAGGATATAACCGATTCTGACCGGAGTCCTTCTTTTTTGGGTCGCGCCCGGAGATGTCTACCCGTTTTTTTGTTGTTACTAAGAGACTCCTCCTCATCCTCACTAACAATGGAGCCTCTAGTTTCAGTCACGGTCTCTTCATCATCACTCTCTGCCCCTGAACTCAAGGAGGCTTGAGTCTCAGTCTCTTGTAACTCTAAAAAAAGCCTCTTTTGTGTCCTGAACTACCTGGCGGTGATGAACCTTATCTGTCAAAAGTGCTCCCCTCACTAATCTCCATAAGGAGAATGTCGTAGGGGGCAAGGACTCAGATCCCTCTTTTCGTAAAAGTCTATGAAGATCACGGCGAACCTCCTCCTAATCTGGAATATTTAAGCTTCCCCCAGTAATGAACCATGGACTGGCTCGTTCGATGGATTTTAGAAAGCCTTCTAGGGTTTTAGACTTGACTGCAGTCCCATGTTCTTTAAGTAACTTTTTTAGTTGATACTGTAATGATTCTAGCTTCCCGGAACTATTCCCCATAGTTTCTTAACCCCGTCCACTTACCTCGCTTTCACGATCTCGGTGGGACCTCCAATTGTCACGTCTGCTGTGCGGCCTGTGTCCGAGAACGTGCGGAGGGTGTCGGGTATTGAAAACACAGAGACTCGTTCAATGATATAAAGAAAACTTTAAACAGGCTCCAAAAAGGTTCAAGAAAACCTCCTAAGAAAGGCTCCCACCAGAGAAGCCTCTGCTCTCTCCTCTCCCCTGGCTGGTTCTGCTCTGACCCAGAGGTGGATGTGTGTGGGTTTTTGAAGGTGCGGTTAGTCTTTGGACAAGGTCGAGGTCAGGGCGGTTTCCGTGGGAAGGCCTTTCCCAGGAACTTATTGTATCATTTTTAGTAAACATGTTTTTACTAAACATTGTCTTACAGCTGCCTACTCCCAGGCAGAAGGGGAAGTGGCCAGGAACTTATTGTATCGTTTTTAGTAAACATGTTTTTACTAAACATTGTCTTACAGCTGCCTACTCCCAGGCAGAAGGGGAAGTGGGTCTCTGCTCAAGGTCTGGTGTTCCCACAAGCCTGGACACTTTGTGACCCTCGGAAACTTCTAGATAGTTCTGGCTGAACTCCTGTGTCTGTGACCCCTAACCTGACCCCTAACCCGGCCATTTGCCCTATTTTCGGAAGGCCCCATCAAGCCACACAACAGATCTGGCCCTCTCAGGCTCCTGTCTCCCCACTTCTATAGTTAGCTCTCTAGTTGATGATTGCTGATGACAGCCTCTGACAAAGATCATTTTGATGGGAAGAGGCAAGCTTGGAACCTTCCAGACCAGAAACCGCCCCCTTCTCTCCTGAAAAGACCCTTCTGCATAGTAGTCAGCAGAGAGTGACTACATGGTTCTGAGCTGTTTCCTGCAAACTCTCCGTTACCATGCCCTTTAAGGTGAATAGCCAGCATGTTGGGGTTGGATGGCTCATCTTCCTTTGCCTACTCCATGAACACAGTTCCTGGCTTGTCTCACTCTCCCCTGCTTGGTTTCTCCACTCTATCGCTTGTGTAACAGTTCTATATATTAAGTTATCTCTGCTTGCCAAACTCTACCCTGCCTTCTCTTTTTTTTTTTTTTTTTTTGTTTTGTTTTAGTTGGGCCTTGACGATACAGGAAAGCCATTATCCTGTGTGCTCTTTCATATATCGTACAGACAGATTAATGTTCAGTCATAATGATGTCATTGAAAACAGTTTGTCTGCAAGAACTAGTAGCTGGTTCATTTACATTGTAAGTCAGGCTGATTAATTGACATTTGTTATAGCTCTGAAAAACCAGAATGCCATTCTTTTCCTGAGTTGTTGTTCTGAGAAGTCAGTAGTGGGCCTTCTGTGTGGAATACGAATGGATTACTCTGGTTTTGCAGGTCTTTTATATCTCTGTCAACCATGACTTAATCATGAAAAGGGATTCTGCTTGGTTTGGGAGGGTTTATACATGGAGGGACCAAGTCCTAACTCACGCTGTTGGTTTCATACCATGCTTTGGTCATGAGCTTGTTCCTATGGTCTTCCAAGCCTGGTTGCTGTGACCTCTACCATCCTGTTCGTGCCAAGCCCTGTTCTTGGCTTCCACACAAGGATTCCCCACAAGGGCTCCATCTGAGAAGGCGGTTTCTAGGACCAGGAGGGTCTGCCTGCCAACATTGGCTTTGAGACCACCGCTTGTTTTTCCAAGATTAATAATCACCAGAAATCTCCAGCCATGTTTTCTTTTCCAGAATACTTTCCAAAAAGTCTGTAAGAATGTCTCTGAAGCTTTTCTCCTTTGAAGGCAGAAAGGCCTAAGGGGAGCATAAATTATAACTTTGCAGAGTCGTGTTTAAAACCCTTATCCAAATTTTTTCTCTACACATACACACCACACACACACACACACACACACACACACACACACACACACACACACACCTTTTCACATATTTGATTCATTTGGGAGGAATAACCACTGAGCTATTGATTTAGCAGGCCCTTGGCAAGTTCAGTTTCACTGTGATTTGAGTCAGCTACAAAGCCTCAAATGTTTCTGCTTGCAAAGCTCAACATGACCCTCCTGCCATGGGTGGTGAGATGAATGACAACTCATTTTAAAGATTCTTCCCTTGTCTGTCCTTGTCTTTCTTCTGCAGGCCGTGTGTTTATACTATGGGATCCCCCATCAACAACAGGGCCCTTTTTCCATGCCAGGAGCCCCCGGTTGCCATGTCAACATGGCAGGCTACAGTTCGAGCAGCTGCGTCTTCTGTTGTTTTAATGAGTGGGGAAAATTCTGCCAGACCCACACCGCTTCAAGAAGGTACTGTCTATGTGTTCCTTCTTACTTGGGTGTGACACACACATGGGACCCAGGGAACCATCGCCAGTGCTGTGGCCTCTGAGGAGCAGCTTTGCCGCTGAGGCCAGAATGAAAACCCCACCAGAGGCAGCAGAGGGATAGGGAGGGCACTTGGGAGTCTGGACATGGGGCTCCAGACTCTCCACGCCAAAGTTAACCAATTCATAGATGATTCCAGAGTCGCTCTTACCCGGTGGTTTGCAGAGCAAGCTTGGGTGGCCTCGGTTGAAGACTTCCTGGATAGGCAAGTACGTCATGGAAACACAGCAGAGCTGAGCTGCGTGTGGTTTGGACGTGGTGTCTGCGTGCGGCTGTCTGCTTTCCTGAGAGGTAGTTAGTATTCAGGCTATCCAGTTTGCTGGGCTTGGAAATCTGAACTCAGGACGTGCCAGGAAGGTGGTGGCGAGAGCCGGCACATCGCCCCGGTCTCTTGTGAGGCTCTTGCTCACTGTCCGTTTGATAACCTCGCAAGCTGATGCCAGGAAAGGGTACTGTTTCCTAGAGTGAAATATGGTGTCCCCTTGCACAGACTTAACAGAGGAAACCTGAAATATACTAAAAAAATCAAAAACCAAAATGAAATAATTTGGAAAGAATGACTACTCACATGTTGCTTTGTCACCCCCAGTACTTCAGATCCATGCATTTCAAGAGGTATTAAATTGCCCTTATGGTGTGCACCAATGCCACCTGCTTTCCTTGTGAATAGTGCATACTGAACATATTTAAGTTAGTTTGTTACACATTAATTTAAAATGTTAGCATACTTTTTATTGTTTGAGCACTTTAGAATCTGCCTGACTCTCCCACTGGTGAATATTTTGGTCACCAGATCATTTTCTTGTTATCAATAGAGCGATATTAGGTTCCCAAGGATATGATTAGATGAATGAATGAGTGGCGGAGTCCGAGTTGGGGCGTGTCTAGGCTGTGTCATGTGGCCCACAATATTTCCCAGATGATGCTGTCTTGCCCCATGCGGAGAAAATCTGTGACTGGTGGCATGGTACCCATGGATCAGGCAAGGGCCCTCCTTTAGGTTGATGGTCTAAAGCATTGCCTGTTTTCCACACTGAAAGTCTCAGGGCTGATGAACTTATCTTTTCTGATTTGTGACATCTGCTTCAGCATAGGTTAGACGTGTTGCATGTATAAAATTCTTGAGCTTAACATTTATATTTTTAAATATAGATAGTATATTTACAAATGAATACAGGACTTAAAAGTCTCTTCTTGTTTTTTTAAAATTTGGGGGTTAACATTTTCATTGCAGTTCATTTGAAACAGCCTTTGCCCGTGCATATTCCATTTTTAAAAAATTATTGGAGACTTTCATACATGCACATACATATTTTGATCAAATTTACCCCCTCATTCCCTCTCTCCAACTTCCTCCCTCCACTTTTCCTTCCCACTGTATCTATTTAGTGCTGCCTATATGTGCATGGGTATGAGGCCATCTACTGAGGGGCCACATCTCTCTCCTAACAGCCATCCGGTGCCAGAAGCTCCTCAGCTAGGGATGGGGCTTCATGTGCTCCTCCCTGGTCCATGCTGGGGGGTTGGATAGCTTGGTCTTTTGCAGACTGTGTCAGGTGCTGTGAGTTCCTGTATGCAGCACTATCATGGCAAACAAACACCATTTATCCATTTCCTCTGACTCTACACTCTGTCCTTGACTTCTTCCAAGGTAACCCCGAGTGTGGCAGGGAGGGAAGGAATATGGTATAGATGTCCCGTTTCTTATTCTGTGCACATTAACTGGTTGTAAGTCTCTGCACTGTAAAAAGAAGCTAGCTGCCTGGTGAGGCTTGACAAATGAATGCATTAATCTATGGGCACAGAGATAATTGCGTAGGGACAGTTTATTACAATATCTGTTTAGCAGAAAGACAGCACTGGGTTCTTCTCTAGGACCTATGACAGCCTCCCATGGATTTTTATCCCACTTGAAGGTACAAGGCATGGGTTCCATTCTGTGGAGCAAGCTTTAAATCCAGCCAGACAGTGATTGGTTGCTTCTAGAACATCCGTGCCACTCTTACTGCAGTGAGCATGTGTTTCCGCATCACAGCTGGATTACAGTAGCTCACAGGCTTCAAGCTGGGTAAGAACTGTTGACCCTTTTTCTCCTCCCCTGAAGTGTGCGTAGAACCTTCTATTACTATGTAAGCTAACCCTTAGGGATGAGTCTTCCAGATCAGTGCCAGCGTGATTTTGCCACGTTTTGTGAATCAGGTATATACTATCTTTAGCAACACAGTCTTACCATGAAGTTCTGAAAGGGAATCAAGAGTAGTAACAATAGCCTGCACTGTCTAGGGGGAGCTATGGGACTCCACTGATGACTCAAAGAGAGGTAACCCATTCTAGCAGTGGGGTTTTTATTTGATAGTCTGTAGTGTCTGGAGAAAGCAATGTCCCTTGTTTTAGGGTAGCTTCTAAACTTCTTACACATTTGTAAGAAATACCACTGTAGGATTTCCATATATTTATTTCCATGTATATATATTCACTCACTGACTGGTAGTAAGTCTCTGCACTGTAAAAACGAGCCTGGAAATCCTGCAGTAGTAGATTTTAATGGCATCTCCACAAAGCCTTTCCATTCCCACCACATTTAACCCCTTTGTTCCTGCATTTACCTTATCCTCTTTTCCTTTGTCCTCCCCCATGGCTGTTTACTGGTTTCCTGGCTTCTGTGGGTACTCTAATTTAAGCACACATATCTGAATGTCCACAGCTAGCATCCACACAAGAGAAAGAGCATGCAGTGTCTGTGTTTCTAGGTCTGTTACCTATCAGAGTGATTGTTTATGGCTCCCTCCACTTATGTGCAGATTTTATAATTTCACTTTTTTTTTACAATTGAATAATAGTTCACTGTGCAAATACACCACATGTCCATTCTTCATTCCTCAGTTGATGGACACCTGTGCTGTCTCTATTTTGTGGCCATTGTGAATAGAGCAGCAATAAACGTAGATGATCAAGTATTTCAGTACTAGGATATAGAGTACTTTTGGAATAGTTTTGGGGTCACATGATAGATATAGTTCTAGCCTTTTGAGGAACTACTACACTTATTTCCCAATGGCTACACCAATTTTCACTCTCACCAACAGTGAATAAGTGTTCCTCTTTCCCACATCCAAGCCAATATTTGCTGTCTTTTTTTTCCTAGTCTTAGCTTGGTAACTTAGCTAGGGAGAAATCCTAAAATAGTTTAAATTTATATTTCTCTCATGGTCAAGGATGTCGAAAATATTTCTTAGCCATTTGTATTTCTTCTTTTGAAAATACTGTTTAATCCCATGCCCCAGTTTTAAATCTGGTACAAACCTCCCAATGGTACTGAGTGTTTTGAAATCTTCGTGTGTGCTGGAACTAACCCTTTGTTAGATATATAGCTGGTAAAGACCATCTCCCCGTTCTGTAGGCTGCCTCTTCACTGGGTTGTGGTGCCGTTGGCTGTACAGAAGCATGGGCTCCCTTTTCTCAATTGTCTGGTTTCGATGCCTGTGCTGCCTGTTTTGACACAGGGACTCATGTTCCCTGGCTGCTGTCAGCCTTGCTGTGTAGTATGACGCAGGCAGAGCCTTGTGAGCTCTGCCCCAGCCCAGTGCAATCCCTTCCTACTCCCCTTCCCCAGCGTCCTCACAACCTGCCTCGGACGCACCCAGGCTGTTGGTTTCACTCGCTTGGCTTCTCTTTTGCTGAGTGGACTGCACATGTGTGTGCTGGTCTCCCTTTACAGCACTGGGAAGTTTAATAAGTCTGGGATTCGAGTGCATTTACCTCCTGTTTTGCTTTGTGTTACATCTTCAGGAGTTACTCTTTCACACTTCACCCAGTTTTCAAATCATGTTGAATACATGTTCAAACTGATTTTTCATTCTTGATCTTTCAAGCTTTAATTATTTGAGGAAAATATTATAAAAGATTTTTTTTTCTTCAAAAGTGGGCTTATGGTTCATTTTCTAATTATCCTCTTTTATTTTGACTGACTGTGAAATGTATTCACTTATGAACAATTCGTGGCCAGATGCTAACTTTTTTCTTTGAGTAAGGGCTGGATGAGGATGCTGGCTGTCCTTGAGCTCCGCTGACCCTTCTGCCTCTGCCTCCCAGTGCTGGCACTGCTCTGAGGACTCCACGCCCAGCTCTAGATGTACATTTCCTACTTCACCGTTTCCCTCTCTGAGATAACTGCTAATGCTGCCATCACTCACGTGACAGTCCGAGGATATAAACCTTACATAAAGATTTAATTTTGGGGGAACGTCTGGCATCCCTGCCCACATGCTCTTTGGGTTTTGAAATTTTATGCAATTCAAACTTTAGATATAGATGTGATATCTTTCTTCCTAATGGGTGGAGGTGCAGTATGAGTCACTTTACACTAACTGTGTACTTTCAAATGTATTGTTTAATGAGCTCTGACCCCTGCATACACCCGCACGACTCGACACTGTCCTGTGGTAGCACAGGACATTTCCATCGTCAGAAGGCTCCTGGTGGGCGGGTATTCCTCCCAGTCCTTCCTGCTGTGTCCCTGACCTGATTTCCACCTCAGAGGTCGGCTATGCTGGGTACTGCAGCGGGCCTGGCTGTAACTCAGCATGCCGCTCCCATACCAGCCTCTAATCCATGGACAGGGTTCTTGATGTGAACGCGCCACTTGGATTGTTTGGGCCAGTTCAGAAATCGTTCTGTAATGTGTTCATCCGCAACTTTCTTTCTAGACATGGCCTGCATTTCTCTTGGGTGAATTCCTGGGAGTGGAATTTCTAGGTCATGTGATAAGGGCCTGTTTTTGCTTCTAAACTTAAATTGGGGTTCGTTATCTGCCAGGCCCTGTCTGGAGTGCTCTTGTGGTTTTGTGTTCTTGCTGGCAGCGTCTGAGAGCCCTGGTTGCTGTTCGCCATCGCAAGTGCTTAGCGTGATCAGTCTTTGAAGTCAGCCCTTTAGCCAGTGTGGTGTGCTGCCTCATGGTTTCAGTTTGCATTTCCCTGATAGCTAATGCTGTTGAGCATTTTTATTGCACTTATTGCACATTCCTGTGTTTTTATTTGTAGAGCATCTGTGGTTTTTTTTTTTAACTCTTTTGGGGGCCTACCACCCAGCTCCCAAATAACCCCCAAAAATACACAGAGACTTATTCTTATGAATGCCTGGCTTTAGCTTGGCTTGTTTCTAGCCAGCTTTTCTTAAATTACCCCATCCACCTTTTGCCTCTGGGCTTTTACCTTTCTCTGTTCTATGTTCCTCTCTTTCCTTCTGGTTCTGTGGCTGGGTGGCTTCTCCTGGTGTCCTCTCTGTTTCTCCCTTTCTGACTCCTCCCCTTCTTTTTCTCCTCTCCTATTTATTCTCTCTGCATGCCAACCCTGCATATCCTCTCTCCCCTGCCTAGCTATTGGACATTCAGCTCTTTATTGGACCAATCAGGTGTTTTAGACAGGCAAAATAACACAGCTTTACGGTATTAAACAAATGCAACATAAAAGAACGCAGCACGTCTTTGCATCATTAAGCAAATGTTCCAC